GGGGGAGGGGGGGGGGGGAGGGGGGGTAATGTGGGGATACGGACACATATGTAATAACTTAATCAATAAAAAAATTAATTTAAAATGAATTAAAGACTTAAAAAACATAAAACTCCTAGAAGAAAACAAAGAGACAAAACTCCTTGACATTGATCTTGGTCATGATTTTTTGGATATGATACCAAAAACAAATGCAATATAAGCAAACATAAATAAGTGTGACTACATCAAGCCAAAAAGTTTCTGCACAGCAAAGGAAACAATCAAAATGAAGAAATAATGCATGAAATGGCAGAAAGTACTTGCAAACTATATATCTGATAAGCATTTAATATTCAAAATATATAAGGAACTCATACAATTCAATAGCCAAAAAACACCCCCCCCAAAAAAAACGATTTAAAAATTGACAAATGGCCTAGCCGGTTTGGCTCAGTAGATAGAGTGTCAGCCTGCGGACTGAATGGTCCTGGGTTCTATTTCAGTCAAGGACACATGCCAGGGTTGTGGACTCAATCCCCAGTGTAGGGCGTGCAGGAGGCAGCTGATCGATGATTCTCTCTCATCATTGATGTTTCTATCTGTCTCTCCCTCTCACCCTCTGAAATCAATAAGAATATATTTTTAAAAAATTGACAAATAATGCGAATAAACATTTTTCCTAAGAAGGTATACAAATGGTTAACAGATATATGAAAAGATGCTCAACATCACTAATAATCAGGAAAATACAAATCAATACCACAATGAGATATCACTTCATACCTGCTAGGATGGCTATTATAAAAAAGACAAGAGATAGCAGGTATTGGCAAGGGCGTGGAGAAAAGAGAACCCTTGTGCATTGTTAGTGGCAAAATAAATTGGTGCAGCCACTATGGAATCAGTATGGAGCTCCCTCAAAAAATAAAATAGAACTACCATATGATCCAATAATCCCACTTCTGGTTATCTATTCAAAGGAAATGAAATCAGTATCTCAAAGAGATATCTGCACTCTGATGCTCAATGAAGCATTATTCACAATAGCCAAGATATGGAAACAACCTAGGTGTCCATTGACAGATAAATTGCTAAAGAATGTGTATGTGTACATACATATAAATACACACAGGAATATTTCTCAACCTTTAAAAAAAGAAGAAAATCCTTCCATTTGTGACAACATGGATGGTACATTTTTATTTTTAAAAATGAACCTGTCTTTTGACCCAGTGATCCCACTTCTGGGAATATATCCTAAGAATCCTGAAACACCAATCAGAAAGGATATATGCATCCTTATGTTCATAGCAGCATTATTTGCAATAGCCAAGATCTGGAAACAGCCAAGTGTCCATCAGTAGATGAGTGGATAAAAAAGCTATGGAATAGCCCAGCCAGTGTTGTTCAGTGGTTGGGTGTCAACCTATGAACCAGGAGGTCAGGATTTGATTCCCAATCAGGGCACAAACCCGGATTGTGGACTCGATTCCCAGTAGAGGGCATGCAGAAGGCAGCTGATCAATGATTCTCTCTCATCATTGATATCTCTCTCTCTCTCTCTCTCTCTCTCTCTCTCTCTCTCTCTCTCTCTCTCTCTCCATCTCCTTCCTCTCTGAAATCAATAAACATATATTTTCAAAAATAAAAAAATATTTTAAAAAGGCAGTAGTATATTTATACAATGGAATACTATGCAGCCGTACAAAGAAGGAAATCTTACCTTTTGCAACAGCATGGATGGACCTGGAGAGTATTATGCTAAGTGAAATAAGCCAGTCAGAGAAAGACAAATACCATGTGATTTCACATGAGGAATCTAATAAACAAAATAAACTGAGGAACAAAATAGGTCCAGAGGCATAGATGCATGGAACAGACTGACAGCTATCAGAGGGGAGGGAGAAGGGGGGAACTGGATGAAAGAAAGTGAAGGGATTAGCCAAAGAATATATATGCATAACCCACAGACACAGACTACAGTGTGGTGATGGCCAGAGGGGAAGAGGGGTAGGGGCTGGGTGGAAGCGGGCAAAGTGTGTATGTGGGGAAGTGGGGACATCTGTAATAGTGTCAACAATAAAAATAAAGGTGGGGAAAGGCATCACCACACCCAAGGTTTTCTCCTGTTATCTTCTAGGGATTTTGTAGTTTTGTGGTTTACATTTAGGTCTATGATCCATTTTGAGTTAATTTTTTTTAAGAGTGTAAGGTCTGTGTCTAGATGATTCTTCTTTGCATATGACTGCCCCATTGTTCTAGCACCATTGTTGAAGAGATTATTAAAAATATTTTTATTTATTTCAGAGAGGAAGGGAGAGGGAGAGATAGAAACATCAATGATGAGAGAGATTCATTTATCAGCTGCCTCCTGCACTTCCCATACTGGATATTGAGCCCACAACCTGGTAATGTGCCCTTACCAGGAATCCAAACTTGATCTCCTGGTTCATAGGTCGATGCTCAACCACTGAGTGACACCAGTTGGGCGAGATTGTCTTTTTTTTTTTTCTTTATTGTTTTCAAGTATTACATATGTTTCCTTTTTCCCCTATTGACCTCTCCCCGGCTGTTTCCACCCCACAACACATGCCCTCAACCCCCTACTGTCTGTGTCCATGGGTTAGAGAGTATCTTTATTCCATAGAATTCCTTTGCTCCTTCATCAAAGCTCAGTTAACTATATTTGTGGGGATCCATTTCTGGGCTCTCCATTTAAAAATTATCTATCTATCTATCTATCTATCTATTTATTTATTTATTTATTTTTAGAGAGAGGAAGGGTGGGGAGAGAGAGAAAAAGAGAGGAAACATCAATTTGTCGTTCTACCCATTTATTCATTCATTGGTTGATTTTTGTATGTGCCCTGACTGGAGATCAAACCCAGAATCTTGGTATATTGGGATGATGCTCTAACCAAGTGAGCTACCCAGCCAGGGCTGGGCTCTCCATTTTGTTCCACTGACCTATTTGTCTGTTCTTTCACCAATACAATACTGTTTTGAATACTGAAGCTTTATAGTAAGCATTGAAGTAGACTGGGGTCAGTCCTCCAACTTTGTTTTTCTCCTTCAATATTGTGTTGGCTACTCTGCATCTTGCCTATCCATACAAACTTTCGAATAAGTTTGTCAATGTCCATAAAATAGTTTGCTGGAATTTTTAATTAGAATTGCATTGAATCTATAGATAAAGTAGGGAAAAACTGACATCAATATTAAGTCTTACTACCCACAAATATGAAATATCACTTGATTTACTTAGTTCTTGATTTTGTTCATCAGAGTTTTATAATTTTTCTCATATAGATCTGTATATAGTTTGTTAGAGTTATACCTAAGTGTTTCATTTTTGAGGGGGGTGCTAATGTCAATGGTATTATGCTTTAAATTTCAAGTTCTACTTGTTCATTGTTGGTATGTAAGAAATCACTTGACTTTTATATATTAATCTTGTAACCTGAAACCTTGCTATAATCATTTAATAGGTCCATGAGGGTCTTTTTGTTTGTTGTTGTTCATAAGGGTCTTTTTTTGTGTGTGTGTCAATTCTTTCAAAATTTCTATGTGGACTATCATGTCATTTGCAACAAAGTCTGAGGAAAAAGAGGCTAGAATGGTGCCAAAGGGCCAGCTCCTGGTGGGGACAGAAGGACCTGGATCCCAGGAGCCATTGCCTCAGGAGGCTGGAAGTGTACCCGCTGACAATGAAACCTCCAGTGAACTGAACCTGTAGCAACTCATGGAAGATGTTGGGGGAAGAGTTGGAACAGAGGGTGAAGCCACAGCATAGAGATGATCAGAGTTCAACATGGCTTCTTTGAGGAGTCCTTTTGTGCTCTTTTGCTCTCTTAATCTCTTCCTCCGGAAGAGGAGGAGAGCCTCTCAGAAGGTACATAGAGCTGGTACGTGTTGGGGTTAGTCACTGGCTACAGGTGAATTGACTAAATTAAACCAGTTTATATGTTAACTAAACTGGTTACTGGTTTACTTGGTTTGGTCATCCCTAAGTAGATGCTTCCTTTTGGCTTCTCTCCCTCCTCCTCCATGTCACTAACATCATTGTTTCTGTGGGAGGCCTGTACAGTATAGAAATCTGGGAAGGCAATGACATCTTAGTCCTGGGTGAAGGACATCGAGAAGAGAAGGAGTAAGTTCAAATCCTGGCTTGCCATTTGCTAGCTGTGTGGCCTTGGGAAAAGCACTGAAACCATTCTGGTTCTTCATTTCATGTCTCAAATGAGTACATCCTATGCCATATAGGGTTGCTTATGTTTAAGTGAGGTGATGCATGTAAAGGCTTAAATTGTAAGGGAAGTAGAGTGGTTAGGCTGGAGGGCAGACCTTGGGTTACAGGCTGCCTAACAGTGTTCAGGGACTTGCAGTCACTGAACAGAAGCACTAGAGGAGGAATCTTGGGCATGAGCTATGTATTGTAGTTTATTTTTGGCAAGAAGGACAGAAGTTGAAGGTGACATCAATTTTTTTCTTAGATGCATGCAGGCAAATCCTACAGGTACTTTTATTTTTGTGGGCAAGGGAACAAGACGAAGAGGGAACTGGAGCAGATGGCTATTTTTCTTTGGTCCTTGGTGGCCTTTGACCCCTGTGGCTTCTGAGTCATCTGTGTCTGGCTGGGATTATTATGGGAAGTGGTGATCCTTCTGTGCAGCTTACTCTAAGGAGGTCATCATTCAGTCACACTCCTTAGGTCTTTAACATAGAGTATAGGGTCTCTTCCTGGGGGCTCTCGTGGAGAAGGTGGCTAGGAGGTGCTGTCGGTGAGGGTGAGGTTGAGTTGGAGAGGGTAAGGGAGGCATAGAGGATGCCGTCAACCTGCGTGAGAACAGAAAGAGAAGGGGGTTAGAAGTGGAGGGGGAGCTGACCTCATCTTACATAGTGATCTCATACCTGAGTGCCCTGCTGATACCACAGTCCCTCTATTCTTTCCACCCCTACTTCTCCAAGCTTCTCTTTAATTCTTTCAGGCTCCAGTCTGAGCTACTTACTTTTGGGTCCAGCTTGGAGTCTCTATGTAGTCCTAAAAAAATAAAATAAAAATGTACCAGGATCAGAGGCATGGCAGCCAAGGTAGAGAAATGGGCAGAGGGCTCAGTAGTGAGGTCATCTGCTAGGTCAGGACTAGGGTCATGTGGGAGGGATGGGTGAGGCATGGGAAAGAGGAAAACGCTGAGGGGCACGTGTGTGGGGAGAGAGTGTGTAAGGAAGGAGGAAGGGCCAAGGTGGAGTGTGGATGGTGGTAGAACTGACCTTTATGCCCAATGTTCTCGTACTTCTCCTCAGTGTTATGGAAGGATCCCCTGCATGGGAAGGAAAGGGTGGGAATTGTGTTAGAGGCTGGGCAGAAAGGAGTCAAAACCTGCATCAGGCTGGTTCTCTTGGGGGTTCTGCGACCTGCTTGGACCTACTCAGAAGATGTAGGCATTGGTTTGAGGCTCTCAGAAGGAGGCTGCCTGGAAGAGCTTTGAGAGGCAGTGTGTGGTGTAGCCCAGGAGAGGCCCCTGAGTGCCACCTGAAGGAGGGCTGTTCTAGGGAACCGCTGTTGTAGGAAGGGGCACAGGAGGAGAAACCAGAGCGGTGAATTCCTGTCCTCTCTGCCTCGGTTAAAACTGGAGAAGGAAAACCAGCGACGCTCATCTCACAGCCTTTGGGTGGGTGCTCAGGCCTCGGTCCCCAGGAGGAGACACCATCCTGGGATGGGTGAGTAAGGCCTCTGGCAAAAGTCAGGGAGGGAGAGAAAGGTGGGAGGGGGTTAGGGAAGGGAAAGTGTAGAAATGGGAAGAAGGATGGAGAAAAGGAAACGGGTGGGAGGGTGAGGAGGACCAGTGCTCAGGGCAGGAAGGAGATCCCAGCACAGAGGAGAGGAGGCCGGGCTGGGAGCTGAGGGGGGAAGGTGCTCTGAGAAAAGGCAGACGGCAGAGATGATGGAGGTAGATGATTCTTGTGGTTCCTTTGAGCACCTCACTAGGGAAAAAGGCAGAAAGTACAATGAGCAAAAGAGGAAAAATGTGGGAAAGGTAGATGTGCTCCAGAAGGATGATGCCCAAGATGGAAAGAAAATAGGATGAACAGAAGGAAAAATGTAGGAAGAGGGACAAAAGAAGGTGAAAAGAGGATACCAGAGAAAGAGAAAAGGGAGACATTCTGGGAAAGAATCAGAGAAAGTAATTAGATCCTCTGTTCTTAGTAAGAGAAGTGCTGACCTGTTATGGAACATAAGAAAACTCGGATGGGCAAGTCGAGGATGCGAGCAGCTGTGAAAGGCTTTCTAGCGCTGTTCTCATAAGGAGCTTCCTGTTTCCTAAGTCACCCCCCCCCCCCCCCCCCC